TCAGCCCAACAGTCCGCCACTCCACTCAAACCCACATACCTGGACGGACTACGTGGACCGAACACACACAGCCTCTCACACGCAGCAAATACTGATTTACCAATAACACCTCCCGTTAAATAGATCAGATAAATTAACTATTATCAGCTGCCATATGCGACAGACTCCCTGCAGCTGAGAATATAACGCTGTGGTCATCTGTCCATCTGCTAGAAATAAAAGGGAGCGTGCTCGGTAGTTCTGCTTACCAACAAGACCATCCGGGGATACTAGTGTCACAGAGTACCGCAAAGTCCGTCACCTGATGTTCCTGTCCAGCGTACGGGATACAAGCGGCCGAGAGTGGGGGAACATACTTTCCGGGAATTTGTTCACCCTCGTACCAGGCGCGGCAGATGTAGACGTCGGGCCGTACGCTAATCGCACCGTCTGGAAGGTCACCGGGTTTTGTCTTCACCCAGGACAGGCCAATTTGCAAATCATTGCCTACTTCGGTCATGCTTAAGGCTGTCAGGGGGTGGAAATTTAAACCATGTCGTCTGTAACTTGATGGATAATAAGACACTGCGTGACCGATCTCATGATATGTCGGCCAAAATTCTGGAATGCGTTTTCGATTAAGAAGGATTACTTAGATGGGGTTGTTATACCCTGAAAAATTTCGAAGTTGCCAAAATGTCTTTTTGACTTTCTGCAGAAACCGCGCTTGGTAACATTGACTACTTAATTGGCATACATCTTCCCTACTTATTTATATTTTATAGAGAACATGCACAAAAATATGCTTTCTTTTGCTCGTTGGGTAGGAAATCACATTTTCATCATATTTTCTGCCCGAAGAAAGTGTATATTTTGGTTTTAAAGAAGTTTCTTATAGTGAGATTTGCAAGACCGTGCGATATCCATGCATGCCAGACCACACATGTCTGATTACTAATGATCCTAAGGAAATGTACAACACAGTCAGGATCCACTGCAAAATTTCATGAACCCTATGTGATATCTTCTTAAAGGCCTAGAGGAATATATGATTTTCAATAAGCGGAAAGCATGCACCTTGAAGACCAGAAATTGCTAAACGGTGCTGCAATGGCAGATCAGGCTAGAAATTATTCGGGAGTTTAAAAACTTTTTTAAAACCAAAATATACACTTTTTGGGCATAGAATATGAGGACAATATTGTTTCCTACCAAATGAGCAAAAAAGCATATTTTTGCACATTTTTTCTGTAGAAGATATTTGAATTTATAAGACCATCGAAAATAAATAGAAAAGATGCACGCTAATTATGTAATCGCCCTCTACCGAGTGTGATTTCTCTAGGAGGTAAAAAAGAAGTGCATTCAAAAGCCGACATTTTGGAAAGTTCGAAATGCTATAGGACTATGCTGCATGATAATAATTATTACAACCCCACCTAAATAATCCTTCCTAATCGGAAACGCGTTCCAGAATTTTGGCCAACATTTCATAAGATCGGTCACGCATTGTGAGCTCTTAAAAAGCAAGGTTTCTAGTATTCTGATTTATAAGATAGCTAACCTTAAGCCTCAGTTTTCATTTTTATCTGATGGTTGTGTTCTCTAATCAATAGTTTGGCCGCTATCTTCAGTCCAATTCTTTTAAGTCGGAAGCAAAATGCCAAAAGTTATCACTTGAGAAGGTTTCTGTCTCTCAGTCGTTAACAGTCTTTCAAACCAATGTCAACTATTAATAATCTTAGGCAAACTAATTAACCGCAGTCTCTGCATGCAGAAATTACAACATACTGCAATCGGCGAATTCAGCTGATGAAGAAAAGCTCGTTGAGTAAAAAAATGGTTTAACCTCAAGGATTAAGAACTAACAGAAAGAGAACTCACGATCTTCGCAAGCCTATCGCAATCAGGGCTGCAGCGTCGAGCAGAGCCATTTATTTGATGGAAGTGAAGATGAGTTCATTAGCTCATTGGGTGGTTCTACTTAGTACTTATTGTCAGCCAATCAGAATCGAGCAGTCGCGCGTGCACGTGCGTGTACACCTGTTGATGTCGTCCCAGCAGGATTTCAGTTTTCTTTTGAAAACCCGCTTTTGACGGCGGGTATTGTAACACACGGCTGACGCCTTCCTCCTTGATAACGCGTCGGCACGTCTGAGGACTAATCGGAGGGAAATGCTCGAACCTCGAACTAATTTCCATTATTATTTCGCAATGAGGTCCTTTCTACGTTGTGTTCACAAATAACACGTGATTCTCTTTGCGGAGGAGGGCTCCCAGCCTTCAGAAGCAGGACATAAGCAAATGGGTAAGGAAAAACTATAGAGAACTGCCTACTATTTTTTCAAAGTAGGTCTTTTCGGTAGAGTTTTTAGTTGACCGTTCGTCCATGTGCCACTTAAGGGCTTGCAGCCACATATGCCACCCACATTTGCACGTCCGGATAAAGGGCGGTAGTCGTCTACTGCAACAAAATACGGGAGTTTATTACTTGTGTAATTCTGTCTGCTGCGGCCGACAAATCACGATACGACTGGCTGGGTTTCGAGTTGGCCTGTACTGCTTGTCTACAAGCTACAGTACATTATGTTTACTATAGAACACACCGCTATTTGTTCCCTCTTTCATAAAAGTATTCAAAGTGTGCACATACTCATGAAATTATGACCAAAATTCTAAAGTTTATTTTCGACTCAAAAAGACTGCTTAAGTAGGACTGTTGTACTAGTCATAATAATTCAGATACTATAGGTTGCCGGCTTATGAACGAACTTCTTGTCGGCCGGCTGAAAAAACTACGCTCTGTAAGGAATGACTACTTCTGTTGCATTAATTTTCCTCAGTGATTTTCGATGCAGTGACAAATAAAGGAGCATCTATTTTATAGAAAACATGTGTAAATACTCACTCTTCTAGTTATTTGATAGGAAATTATGTCTTTATTTTTTGTCACTTAAAGGGAGACTATAATAAGGTTTAAAAAACTTTCCCAATTCCTTAATAATTTTATGCAAGACCTGTTTTCACACTAACATTCACGGTTTCCAAACTACAAGCTGTGTATTTTTCGTTTGCAAAAACCATACATTTTCTACAGTATTGAGAGGAGACCACAAGAGAGTCATTAAATTTAATCGTGGACTTGAGCCGTATTGCTAATTTTACGAATGATATTAGTAGATGCAAACAGGGGGTTTAATGAACGGGCTTTTTACGGTCTTAAAAAATTTCGTGATAAGAAAGTTTTTTACAGCCTAATTATAACCTTCCTTGAAGTGTAGAATTTAATGAAAACGTAATTTTCTACCAAATGAGTAAAAAGGTGTATATTTTATGTATGTTTTCTATGAGTTAAATTCGAATTTATAAGGACGTCAAAATTCAATGAGGAAACGTCAAGCTTAATAAGTAGTCAGTTTTGCAAAATATCGTTTCTACAGGTGGCCAATAAGTGGCTCATACGAAAGCCGACATTCTGATGTGACCTATCTGTCTGGATATTGTACTACATGATTGTTTTTATCCCAACCTTACTTAAGAAACCTTTTCCAATCGAAAATTCGTTTCAGAATATCATTTAACACGTCATGACTTAGCACATCTTCTGTAAACAGATAGATACTTGAAATTTTTAATTTACACTACCATTCTTTTAAATACAAACTGTGACATCCCTGTAGTCATTTGTGTGCTTATATTCTTTGCCACTAACTGTTAATAACCGGACTTTTATCTTTCCGTCCTGCCACTGATTCTTCCTCGCTATTCGTCGGTTCTCGTCGCCCACTGTTTATTATTCTATGTTGCCGCTCACTTTTAAATCGACCGCCATCCTTTGGCGTCATTCCATGACTACTCGTCTAATCATCTCGAATGTACGTCTACTTCTCAATTTATTAACTCTATCGTGTTACACCATTCTTACCCTTTATTACCATTGGACCACAAAGAATATACCAGTTATTCCTACTGACTTCTGACATAGTGTATGACCTTGAGTGCGTCTATTATTCTGAATCAAGAAAATCTTGTTCGACCATCGATTTCGATGATGTCCACCGTATGCCCCACAGCAGGTGGGAGCAGGGACGGTGACTTGCGCAGGGGTTTATAGTGCCAGTAGACTTGCGCTGCATCTACCTACACTCTCTCCTCCTCCCCGCCTGAGCCCGGTGTCAAGACAGAGTCAAGAAGACCGGAGACGAGGGAGGCCGCAGGTGGATGGCTCGGGCGGATCCTCACCTTGGCGTTCCACCACACCCCCTGGTCCACACAACAATAACCAGGATTTCAACCAACATAACAGAGATTTGGAGGCTGGCACGGCCGAAGCCGCACCTAGGCGTGCCGCCAACGCCTGGCTCGGATCCCACGCTGTGGTGGGAATGCCATAAAGGCCACATTAAAAAGGAGCCATTGCAGCCTGACTCTCAGACCGCCTCCAGTAATGGAGGAGGTCCAAGGTACCCCGTCAGTTGGCAAACCTTCCAAGCCACGGCTTTTAGCGCACCGTGATAGCTTCAAGCGCGTCAGATTGTTTATAGTAAGGAGAAAATGCGCTGAGTCGTAAACCTCGCTCTCCCTTCCCATCACAACACCTCAGCCGCTGTCCGACCTGGCCCCCCATACACACAAACACCAGGATTTCACACAACGGGGGTTAAACGGCGTGTCTTTCACTTGCGTGAGAGTGCCGTGGAAGGTGCTGCTTCAGCTCGCTGCCCAGCCCACCAGTCCGCCACTACACACAACACACACACACACAACGCGACGAACTGCGTGAACCGAGAGCGGGCGTCAATCAGCAACCTTCCTATTCACGACGCTTGACGTGTCGGGAGAGTCTCGGACTCAAGTGACCCCTGCAGCCGAAGCCGCATGAGGACCGAGTCGAGATGCACACTTCCCAATTGCGTGGGAGGTGACAGTTGGGTGCATAAGGTGTGGGAGTGTTGATGTGTGGTGGGGTGATGGTGGTGGTGGTAGGGAGTGAGTGAATGTGTGGTTTGGCCGGCGGTTGTCTACCGCAGGTCGTCGTGGATGAGCATATGGCCGAATAGGCCCATGCGATGCCTGAAGGTGCGAGGGTAGTGCGGGCAGTTGAGACGAGCTTGGTGAGTATAGCCTGGTGCTCCAGGCACTGGTTCTTCAGTCTCTGTGCGAGGGATTCGCGAGTGACCGACCAGGCAGATGCGTGAGGTGAATGTGCGTGGACAGTGTGGACATGAGAAATCGGCGGTGTCAGTGTCACCTACAGAGGAGGTGATGGTGGTGGCGCGGACGGGTGGAGCGGGTGTGGGGTTTTGCAAGGTGGATGCGTCAGATGTGGTGGGTGTGTCAGGAGTGCGGTCAATGCCGCTCTCTTCGATGCGCATGTGGCCGAATAGGCCCATGCGATGCCGGAAGGGGCGAGGGCAGTGTGGGCAGTGAAGGCGAGTGCGGTGGGTGTAGGTTGGTGCTCCAGGCACTGGTTCGCCAGTGACCGACCAGGCCGATGCGTGAGGTGAAGGTGCGGTCGCAGTGAGGGCAGGTTTAGTCCTAATCCTCATCGCTGGAGTCGGGGGAGGTGGTGGTGGCGTCGGTTGTTGCACGCGTGACAGTCGCCTGAGCGGCCGCCGTTGGAACAGTGGAGGAGGAGGAGG